TTCTATTCTCCGGCTACGCGCTGTCAGAGGCGCGGGGAGCGCACATGCCAGATGACCACCACCTGTCAGGGCGCGCTACTCAAACTCCCCAAGTTTTCTAACTACTGAGTGTAGCACAAAACAAAGACATAAGAAAGACGGCTAATGAAATAAGATGAATGTATTGCCATAAAGTAGAAAAACGTAATTCGGTTTTCAAAAAAAACGCAGGCTATTACCATAAGAAATTCTACCAAATGCAACAACGAGGACATGACAAACTGCAAAGCGCCAGGCCTGTTAGAAAACAGCATGTGTAAAAACTATGGTGGAAGATCGTAACAAACATAAGGAGCTGTTGCCTTGACTTAAAATGAGTGAGACTCACCTGTTTCGTGGCCGCCGAGTCATGCTTCTGTATGTAGTGCGGCTCCGGGGCGCGCTGATACTTTCGCTGCGTGCGCTTGGTTTGTTCTCCAGGAGAGAGGCAGGTTGACATTAATTTAAACTGCAGCAGCCCCCACTACGGCTCCTCCCTCCTCATGAATCCCCGCTCAATTTGGCGCTACACCATTTACAAAACGTGTGTGTGAGACAGAGACACAATGCGCATGCTCATTGCAGAAGAGATCTACAGGCGGCGTTTAGGCAATCCTCGGCTGCAGTAGTAAAGATGTTGCATTTAGGTAGTGAATTATGTGAGAAGTTACTCATTGAAAGGTTTCAAGACTACATTGTTTCTAGTTTAACATACTTTCTAGGTCGGACCTAGGGCTGCTCAATTCTTGATTGTAGGTCATATTAGGGTATTTATTTATTTATTTTTCACTTATCAATTCGAGATGCACCGTTGTACTTTGAAAAGTTGAATTTTAAAACAACATATTTGTCACTGATAGAGAGACACGTTGTCGAAACAGAACCAGGTACCTTCGGTGAGCCCAGCAGTGAGAAATACTTGAAGAAAGCTTAGAGGCACTGTACTGTGGAGGCGCGTTTTGTCGGCGTGTCCGCGGTAAAATCTTTTGTCAACAAAACTAAGGACTTCACTTTTCTCATGAAAAGCAGAAGGAAACTAATGTATCTGCTCATAGTAAACAATTGCTGAATGTGTTTTTTTCACATTGCAGAACAATGAGGTGTCACTTGTTAAATGAGGGATGACTAGTGTTACACAGATGTTAGTGCGTGATAATAGCCCTAATGAAAGAAGCCCATTCTTATCGACTAGAGATAAAATGACCACGTGCAGTAACAGTGACCACAGGCCAACACTTTTACTTTTGATAAAGTTAAACTTTATCTTCTAGAATCCAGAACATCAGCACAAGGTTGAATTACAATTTCCATTTCTTGTAAATTCTCAATGGGCTTTAAATGTTCAGACCACTTTTATATAAGCAGGTTATCTATGTTTCTATTGCATTGCAAGAAATTACATGCTTTTGTAAAGACATATTTTGTTTTGGTTCAGGGGTCTTCAAGCAGGGCAGTCTTTAGTCATCCATTGAGCACATAGCAGGAGGGGTGCTACTTTATTTGTATAAAAGTGTCTCCTCATTGTATTAGTTCCTCCAAATGTGACCGTATTGTCCTGGTCACTTGTAATTATCATCATCATAGATCAGCCTTTTGTCCCAAACCAGTCAACACAGTGGCCCAAAAAGGGCTCTTACACACACACACATACACATGGTCACAGACTGAAAATCCACTATAGAGCTGCAGACAGAAACATGAACACACCACACAAACCACTGCCTAATAAAAACAGGAGCGAGATGCTGTTGTTTACTCTTTGAATGCCACCACACTAAACTTCTGGACTAATGTATCATGGTTGCCTAGTGCCATCGTCTGTGGTTTCTAATCCTATTGAGGTACAGGGTACACCTGTGCATACATTGTATTGTTCCAGTAATTTCTTGCTTGTAAGAGGAGTAAGATATCTAGTCTGTAAGCTGACTTTAATTATATGACAGAATAGAATACAATTGTCTATTGAAGTTGTCCCTCTGGTTTTCCCCAGACAAGTCATTTATATAACAAATGGGACAGTAAAATGCCTGGACTAGAAGGGGCTAAAAGAAAGACTTATTTAATTCCATACTTGATCTGACCAATTGCAATAGATGCTAGTTCCTAAAGTTTTTGTATTTTTATTAAAATAAAAAACTACTGGCCAAAGCCAGTAGTTTTACTACAACTTGTCTTTCGCATTTACTTTCCACTTGTTTTCCCTCTAGGGTCATATTAAAATCTGCATCTTGTTATCTGAAACCAAATTAAAGGAAGGGAGCCATGGTATGCAAATGAGTCCATCATAGCCAGAGCAGGAAGCCTGGGACCCATTGACTCTTGCTGAGTAAATTTGCATGGGCACGATTGGACAGGTTAAGGGCAGGCATTGTAATAGATGCCTTTAGCAAAGCATTGTGTGCACAGGTTAGTTCATTTGAATGATTTTTAATGATTCCCCCAGGCTTGAGATATAATCCCACCAGGTTTTTAAACCCAAAGTGGAAGGTCTAACAAATGTATATTGTAACTATGATGTTTAAGAAAGATATGTTGGTACAAAATCTTTCAGCAAAAGAATGACACTGTCAGACAGGTCGTCTTCTGTTCACGTGTAAGTCAGGGCCAGTGGTGGAGGTTTTGCATGCTACCCCTCAGGCGAGTTCCTCTGAAAGACTCTCCTGTGTAGCCTCAGACCTTTGTCAAACTATGTAAAGCATTACCTCATGCTGCAGCCAGCACTAAGACTGGACTCTTCACCATCTCTGTTTTGTTCTGAACCATAATCTGCAATTGTCTTTGCCTGCTTGGAGAGCCTTGTCTACAATACCCTTTGTAACGTTTTTATTTCTTGAATGAAATATTCTGTTCTACAAACACTCATCACTTATAAGCTCATTGTGCTTTCAATCTGTCCACCCATCTGTTAAATCCACCTAATACCATTATGTGATGTCTAAACAAATCCTTTTGTGCATATTAATATTAATATTAGTAGGTCTAAGTAATATAGTAATATTTTTAATTTGATATCAACTTTTGAAAGACATGTGAATCAGTAGGTGAATTTCTTCTGCATTTCTTATATAAGTTCAGAGGAAAAACCACACTGATTCACATGTCTTTCAAAAGTTGATATCAAATTAAAAATATTACTATATTACTTAGACCTACGAATCAGTAGGTGAATTTCTTCTGCATTTCTTATATAAGTTCAGAAGAAAAACCATACTGATTCGTAGGTCTAAGTAATATAGTAATATAGTAATATTTTTAATTTGATATCAACTTTTGAAAGACATGTGAATCAGTAGGTGAATTTCTTCTGCATTTCTTATATAAGTTCAGAAGAAAAACCATACTGCATAGGTGTGAAAAATCACACTATAAGCGTGATTTGTGTGTACCAACACATGACTCGGTTTGGTATACTTGTCATTTTAGCATACATGCCGTGCAAAAAATGTCATCTTGATATCTACTATTATTCCACTCACTCAATACAGCACACCTCATCTCTGTTCCATATCAGGTGTTGTTTGCCTTTGGTTTTAAATTGTCCTAGAAACATTTCATCATAGTAAAGAAAGAGTTCCCTGTTTCACACCTGTTACATGACCTTGTAAAGTATGTCTTAAATGTACATGTGCTCTTGTTTATTTTGATATGTAGATGTGCAAAAAAGATGTCGAAATGCAGGAAATGGAAGGTTAGTGGGGAAACCTCCACCCACTTCAATGTATTCACACACTGCACAAAGGTAACCAAACAGTGTTTAGTGCAACAAATAATAAAAAAAAAAAAAAAAAAAAAAAAAAACGGCTCCTATTGTCTCCACTAACCTGTCAATCAGAGCTTGCATTTGTCACACTGGCCTTCAGCAACATGAGCTATTCACACTGAAAAGGGCTTTGGAATTACCTAAGCACACGTCTCCCTTTATTGAAGCTCTATTTTTAGCTGGGGAGACACTACAAACCTCATATATAATTTCACTGTGCAGATGTGCAAGTGTATGTTTCACCTATATCATTGTTGTATCAGATTTGCTAACAACCTTTTCTGTCTCTTCCATCAACAATGAGATCAGGGCAGTGCTTTCAAAACCACACACCTACACTTTGCAAATGAGATTTAAATGGAAAAATGTCAAAATGTACTTTTTTTTTTTACTGCTAAACAAACAATTGAGCTATGTATCTCTCATAACAAAAAGTGACATCACCTTGGGATATATGCATAATAGTGGTTCATCATAAGATTGGAAGTAGAGCATTGTGAATTATAACACAATTTGGATAGATATAAGAAAATCTAAGCTGAAAGTTGAATGATCTCATTCTAGGCCTAATGGGCTTGGCTTTTTAAAGTTATATTCAATTAGCATTCATGAGTGCAGACAGTAGTAGTGATAGTAGTGATTTTGGTGAGAGAATGATATACTATCTACATATTTTGTATCTACAGAAAAATTTGATTATCATGAAAAAGTTTTTTTTTTTGTCACTCATTATTTATTATTATTATTATTATTATTATTATTATTATTATTATTATTATTATTATTATTATTAATAATAATAATAATAATAATAATAATAATAATAATATATTATTATTTTTTTTTTTTTCATTATCTGTAAGCCATAATCATCAAAATGTAAATAAAATAAAGGCTTGAAAGCTTCACTCTAGGTGCTATGAGTCTATGTAATATATGGGTTTAACGTTCTGAAATAAGTGATAAAAAATATTGGACTTTTTCATGATATACAATTTTTAATTTATTTATTTTTTTCTGTATTGTCAAGCAAACATTCAGCAGGTGGCATTACATCCGGAAGTGACGTCACAAAAGAATAACAAATTAGGTAATATATTTTATTACTTAATTTTACGTATAAATATAAGCTTTGATTGGACAACATATAAACCCCCATACAATGCTGTGCAATGTTTTTTTTAATTATTATTATTTTAGTCTGAAAGGTGAAACGCTTACCTCTGCACTTTCCCATTGAGCAGCAGGAGAAATGGCAGCCAGGCACTGAGACACATGTCATCACAATCTGAGAGCCGAAAACACTGAAACCGGGGCCGGAGAAATACTTTGAAACAAAATGTCTCGTCACAGAAATGTCCGAGGTTACAACTATGACGAAGGTACACATTTCAGACAGTTAATACACCGTGGGAAGTTCGTGAACGGCTAAACAGCTATTAGCTTGGAAGCTAACTTGCTGTGGTCAATATTAGCAAAGGCAGCTGTTCGCTTATCCGATGTCGTGTCACTTGTTTTGATTATACATTTCCACCTCTGAATGACATATTGACATAATCTGTTGATGTTTGGCTAATGGTCTGCTAACTTTTTACACTGTTGCACTCATATTACGTTACTTCCACGGTTGCAAAGTATTAGTAGCTAACGCCAACCTAACCAATCGTTGGATAAATTGCGTCAACATAAACCTCAATGAATGTGCTTTTCAATGGAAATGACAGCTGCATGTTACTTCTGTGTTTTTAGATTTTGAAGATGATGACATGTATGGACAATCAGTGGAGGATGACTACTGCATATCTCCAGCAACAGGTTTGTGTGGATTTAGTATGATTTAGTTTACAAATGTTCGTAATAACATGACAATTAAATGAATGCATCTCATTGCAGCAAATCAGTTCATTTATTCACGCCGAGAATTGCAAGCACCAAAAGAAGAGACGCTAGAGGAGGAAGAATATGAAGACGACGATGTCCCCATGTCCCCAACTGTCAACCACAACCTTGACCCTCTTGATCAAGGTAACTTACGTTCTCTATTTAAAGGTGCACTTTGGAACTTTTCTTGTGCAGGATTAGCTACTGGTTTGTCTCCATGAAGATTTTGTTACTTTACCTTGTCTATTTCCATGGAGACTCACACTGTGAAATATTTAGTAAAATAACAGCAGAAAAGTGACATAATGCAACTTAACATTTGCATTATATTATGGATTTCCATTTTTGAAATGGCACAGTAAAATATCTTTGTACTCACTGTCTAGCCAAGTTGTATTCCTGTCTGGACCACATGCGGACTGTGCTGGGAGATGCATTGCCTGAATCAGTCCTGAGTGAAGCTGCTATGAAACACAGATTTGACCCGCAGAAGGCGCTGGATGCAGTTCTGTCCGGAGACTCCAAAACGGCACCAGTTCCTAAAAGTACAAGTGAAGATGTGGCGAGAGTTAGTATGGACATGGCCCCTCTACCACAGAGAGTCAAAAGAGAGCCTGCATCTGAAAAAGGTACACCCAAGGAGGAAACTGCCATCTTCTTCATAGTAGTAGATGTGTTTGTTGTTTTCAGTAGTTTTATAATAGTACAATCAGTAAAAATCACTAGGGATGGTTCAATATGTTTTCAGCCTCTATCCAAAATTTGTAATTATGTTTTGGCAATGTTGTTTTAACTAATATTTGTTGATACTGATATCAATAAAACTATATTGAGCCCAATTTATGTCAAATTATAGTTGAGTTTACAAATTAACTTTTAAACTTTTATCTCAATAGAAAGTAATTGCATTACAATATCACTAATGCTGAATATCAATCATCCTTATTAATCACATGGATATAAAATATGTATCAAATCATTAACAAGGTGCCTTCTTGTTTCTTTTGTTTTGTGTTTTGTCTGATCTGCTGTTTTCACATTCACTTGCGGGTCCTTCCCTTGACCTCTTCTTATCAACTGCAATGGGCTTTTGTTAAGGTAAGGAGCCTTCTCGTCTGCCTCTCACACTGATTTGTCAGCTGCTTTCAAGCACACATCATTACCTGTTGTACAACCAACAACAAGTGGCATGTCTCCTAGTTTATTAGGAAAATGCCCTGAAAGTCAAAGTATTGGGATGGTTATAGGCAGTGGTCCTAGCTTGGCACAGTTGATGTCTGAACATACAAAAACTCAAGGGTCAAGTCCGAGCGGTTCCTCTTTGGGTACATCGCCATCGTTAATGTTCAGTTCCAATAGTCTATCGCTAGGAACTTTAGCATCTTTAAATATGCCCTCTAGTCCAAATACTTCAGCTCCTTCTCTCCTCACAATGTCTCTGAACAATTTGTCACTAGCCAATCTCAAGCCCATTACAACAAACTCTTCGCTAACTCCACCTCCTGGTTTCTCGAGCCTTTCCTCTCTGTCACAAAGCAACAACAATGAAGTGCGATGCAAAGGTTTTACAGGAGATTCAAAGTCGGGTCTATCATTGGCAGATTTAATGCAAGAGCACTCAAATAAGAGCCCCCAAAATCTCAATATTATTTCTGCGCCACATAGTAGCTTGTCTTTTGGGAAGAGTTTAGTTTCTCCCACTCTCCCTTTCCGAGCTGGCATCACAACACCAAAACAAAAGCTCTGCCACACATAGCATGGAACCAGGTACCTCAACATCCCCATGCGGTTTAGTCTCTCTGTCCGAGTTAGCATTACAGCATCAACAACCGAGCAAGTCAGTATTAACTCTTGGCACAAACTTTGCATCAAGCGTGCTAAAACAGCCATCAAGTCTTTCTGAGTTGCTTACTACACCACACGCATTGGCAGAACACAAAGGCAAAACCTCAACCACCTCAAATGGGTCACAATACTCCCTCAGCTTGCTACTTTCACCTGCTAAACCAGAAAAGGCTGGCGTGTCTGTACAAAGAGGGACTGTGCATAATGATGACAGCAAACCACAAAATGCACTAAAAGTCCATCAGCCTATAGATCTAGGAGCACTTATTTCTCAACCACATGAACTCGGGCAGCACCATTTTGAAATCAACCTTCCTTCACCCTCCTCATCACCTTCAGGCCTGGGACTTGGTTCATCAGTTTTTGCTAAGCCCTCACTATTTGCACTGACACTTTCTTTCCAAAGCTGCAAGAAAACAAAAAGGAAGATTTTAGCTCATAAAATTAAACAACAATATGCAAGAAGATTGGTGCTTACTGAAGGCATTACTCCATTTCTATTTGATACACCTTCGCCAGATGACATTGTTCGGGCCAATCAGAGCAAGGCCTTTACCAGGTAGAGAGAACGGAATGGTGTATAAGTACTTGAATTTGTGTTCTTTTGGGGTCTAAATATTTAATTTTATGTTTCTCATATCAAAAACAATGTGAATTCTATGGACCAAAACATAACTTTTTATGAATATGTAATTCTAACATAACACCGTGAAACAAAAGCCTTACTTTTGAAAATGCATGATATCCATTTCCCATCTAATTTCATCAGAAATTAGCTATTTTAAATGCTTTAATATTTTAAATACATTTTAAATTTTTTTATCTTCTGTAAAGCAGAGAAGCATATATATGGCCTCTTTTTCTTGCGAGCAAAACCTTTGAACTTGACAAAAGGAGGTTGATTTTTGCAGGTGTGCAGCAGCCATTGGAATATGGATCAGTTTAACCATTGTGCTGGTTTACTGCTGACAATTTGGTTTTGGGGACACCTGGAGATTTTCCCATGAGCGAAAGGAACAAAACGTCTGCATTTCTAAACACAGACACGAAGAGCAGTGTTTTATCAGATGGGTTAGATGTAAATGAATGCATTAGTGCTTTATATTTAGTTTTGTTTTAGCCATTTTGCCTTTTTACTGTTTTTTCCTTTTTGAAATAAAAAAATAATACTTTTAGAATGAAATGTTTCCATGTACAATGTTTTTGTTTGTTTTGTACCCATAATAATAGCAATTGGTCTATTGTCTTTTTACCTTATTACCTAAGCTTTTCTATTGAATAATTGCCCTTATGCCCTTAAGTGTAGTTATGGGCACGTGTAGAGAGGCCGCAAAGTGCACAGGACCATCAGGATTAAACAACAAGAGGCAATCTACTGTACATATTGGTTACTTAGTTTGTGGCTTCTTATGTCACTGCCTTCTGAGTAGAGATCGACAGTAACAAAATTGACACTGTGTTAATAAATTAATGTGGCGTGTCCAGTTGTAGTTGAGTCCTTTACCGTTTGACACCAGTGTGTGGGTTTGTGCAGGAAGCTGCACTCTTGGAGCAAATGTCATCTCAAACACAGCAGCCAGTCACTTAGATGGAGCACAGCCGGTCTTTAACACCTACGTAGGAAAATCTGATCATGTCTCTGAGCTTTCACAGCACTGTCAAAGGGCCTGGCAGATCAAATCATAAAGCAGCACCACTCTGCACAAAGCACATTGTTGCACAAATGCTGTTTTTGTGATGTGGTGTCACAACTGGAAAATGTCATTTTAACATTCTCTGCTGGGCACAAGAAATTATATTTTATTTGGCATCCAGATGATACTTTAATGTGGTTTAAAATGTGTTTAGGCTTTCATGCAAGTTTTGATGTTTATATTTTATGTATTTATTTTACATTAATAGATTATTTCTTTCTATGCAATAATTCAGTAATGCCATTGGATACTGTTGCAGGGAGAAACCATCTGATCCTACATTTAAGATGGATCAAAATATCCAAATGGCAATTTTCATGACAAGTAATGCATTTGCATTTTTGGATTTCTTTGGATTGCCTTTACAGTTGCTAAAGATCCCAACAGTGGCTTCATTTGATAGTTAAAAAAATGGTACAAATGTGACCATCTCTTTAACTTGCACAACCATTTTCTCCTAGACTGGCTGCTATTCCTTCACCCACTTGTATTCCACCACCATTGTCACTTCACTTACCTGCACAAATATAGGAGGAGGGCCTATATTTGCATATCCTGGGCGTACTCCGCTTATCCAGTGCTCAGTTGGACCCTGAGGCAAAGGTGTGCAGATGACTCACCTCAGCTCAGTCAATGCAAGGGTCTCTGTACCAGAGAAATCCTGGATGGGAGGCTCAACTGTTTACCTACCAGTCTAAGCTCTGTCAAGAGAAACTGTTCACACAGCCTCCCTCAGGGCAAAAAATTATTTGAATTGTTTGCAAAGGGTGGTTTGACAACACAATTTGCCTGATTGTTTAAAAAAAGGGTTGTTTAAAAAGCATAGGAGAGAGGTTTGCTTGTTTTGTCCCTAGGGAAGTTTGGCATTGAGTGTTAGAAGGGAGAAGGTGTGTTAAGATGAGTTCGGGATTACTGTGATCATTGTCCATGTTATGTTAGATGACTAGATTAGCAATTTGTGTTTTTAAGGGGGGATTTGGTTTTCAGTATATATTTATGGTCAAATACATTATTAACACTATCTCTTGGGCCAAAGTTTACATCATTGCATCTTGTAATTTCATATTCCAAGATTATGAATTAACTTATTGCTTAATGTTGATTGCAGACATCTGTTGTTTAGTATAAATTATTGCACTCACACCAGGACATTACACATATAAAGTTTCTTCCTTGGTCAGTAACTAAAATAACACCACAGATTGAAGTGATTGTGGTAGTGCCACAACCAAAAAATAGCATGTTTCTGACTGTTCTTATTAGCACTAAAGATACTTTGATGTGGTTTAAAATGTTTAGACTTCATAGTTTAAAGGTTAAAAATGGGCTTATCATTTCAAGTAATACATTAATATTTTATAAGGTTGTCAAATTCGAAACTAGAAATGTTTTAATTTGTTTTTCTGAGTCAAGAATTTGTTCTATTTTTTGCTCAGTATTTACATTAACTCCTGACTGTTGCGGATATTTTAATATCCAATGTTGTTCACAATAATTTGCATTATTTCAGGTTCCTCATTGTTGTTAAGCAAGACTCGAGCCACAATATCAACAAATCATCAAGAAGCAAATAGCTGAACCAGAAAATCTTAACATCTCACTGTCAAATGCTCGATTGCTTTTGTGAGAGATTCTAATGCCTTGGTCGGGGTCTGTATGTGTCTTTGTATGTGGCTTGTATGTGTCTTTGGTACTATAGAAGAGCCCAGCTGCAGGAAGAAACCTTTAGTGGTACTAGTTCCTGTGAATCCACTTTGAAGACTCTCATGTGTTTGTGATGTTTGACAGCTCCTTTCATTTGTGTCAGTGTTTCAGAATGACTTTTCTTAAGACACAGCCACAGTCATTCAGAGATCAGTGAGGTAAAGAACATCCATTAATAGTTCGCCAAACCCAAGTTTTATCAGTACGTTGTGCTGGCAGTGTGAATTTACAATGACACACAAAGTAAGGTATAGGATTATGCTTGTCAGACCATTCATTATCAAATATTTGTAAAGGTTTAGACCTAGGAATGCCATTTGGAGGTATCTTCAAAGGAAGGATTTGATTCATGTATAACAGTGGGTCCCAAATGACATTTTCTATTAAATATAACGTAAATTATTGTTGGGGTTTGGCCCATGGGAGCTTTGCGTCGACAGGACAGCCACAGCACTGCAAATTTGGGAATGACTAATGTATAAGATTGAACAGACTGTTATTGTGACACACATATCTGGCTCTGAACCTTGAGGCTTTGCCAATCTGCTGAATGTATTCCACCACTCTTCACCCCCATTTCACACAAAATATGTTTGTCCCATAGGCATCGTTGGGCAGAGCAGAAACAGTATATCATAACTAATCTAATTAGTTCCTGAAATAGACCTAAAAGAATTTGTGCCTACACTTGTTATAATCCACATCCGAAGTACCACCAGTGGACCGTGAACCACGGTTTGAGAAGCTCTGACTATATTGATGCAACTTGTGTTTCCTCATTACTTGTTTTGCTAACTAGAAAGTTACCACATTGGGTCCTGATTTATTTATTTTTTACTGGTCCTTTCACACAATTATTTAATTAAATTTTTGTTGTTAATTTACCTTTCTCTTCCTCAGTATTGCTGACTAAAGAATCTTGTGAAAAACGTCCTGTTACTGCTCTATTTACGTACTAGAGGCAAACTGTCACTTCTGAAATTAACCCTGTGCGTACCAGGATGTGAGTGCTGTACGAATGCACTAGGCTTGGCTCTGCACCTCCATCTAAATGAATCAGAAGCAGGACTGATATGAGTGGTACTGCTGGCCATTTCAGACAGGGATGACACAGCAGTGACCTCAAGCTGTGCTGCTACTCGGTGAAAGTCACTTATCAGATCGAACCATTTAATCATAATCACCTTCTGAAAAAAACCCTTTATGTATAACAGTAAACCCAATGCATTTAATGGGAGCTGTCATATCAATAAAATGTCTGTGCTGTAATACCAACCAAGCCCTGAAACAAAGGAAGACCCAATGTTTTCCAAAATAGTGGAGACTGGTGGCCAATTAAACCAGCAATGCATTGTTTTTTTAGCATTATCATAAATGCATAGATGTAACTTTATTTAATCTTTAACCAGTCTTTTTTTTTGGTATTTGGTACAAAATATTATATCCAATAAAATGATTAAAATATGGATAATTTGTGCTGCCATAGTAAATCTGGGAAACACTGGACTAGCATTTACCTTAGTATTTTTCCCTTATGCAAATTGGTAAGACACTAAAGATTATCATTTCGAAATTAAATTTGACCTTTGCTTGTATGAGATGTGAGCTAAAGTAATCTGACCGATCAATAACCATAAACCAACATATTAACATTCTCTGGTACATTTGCTAAGTGTAACATGAAAGTTATTGTCAGTTTTTGTAATGGAAAAATACTTGGTGTCACAGTTAGTCATCGTCTTGTTTCATTTTTGACTCTACTTTTCCATGTTCCTAGCTAAAAGAGACGTTTCTCAGAATAAGATGGAGTCAGAGGTTGTTCCTAAAGTTGCCCGCATGACCGTCTCTGGAAAGAAGCAGACCATGGGCTTTGACGTGCCGAGGTAACTTACACAACTAACACTTTTATCTCAGTATTTACTTGCATGTATTTACTTTACTGTGCATTACTTTAGCACAGACGAGAATGGCATCAGCGCAGTGCGTAGAGGAGGCAGCCCCGAAAACGCCGTAGTAACGTCTGCACCGGAGCCCAAACCGCCAGAGACCCCCTCCAAAGGGAACGGAGAGGAGACCACCACAACACCCACCCCCAGCAAATCCTCAAGCAAAAACAGACAAGCAATCAACGTCAAGGCGGAACTAGAGAAGAGACAAGGAGGAAAACCTCTTCTAAACTTAGTGGTGATAGGTATGAAAAACAGGAAGAAATTAGAAATGCATTCATTGACGTTTATGCCATGAATGAAATTTAAACCACAAAAACCTTCTGTGGCTCAAATCTTATCATATAGGAAAAACATAACAGTTTCCTAATAAATTTCCCATATATATTAACCTCAACAAATAGTGTCCCATCTTTCAAATGCTGAATATAGTGATTCTTGTGATAGGCCTATATGAGAATCAACAAATGTGGTAGTATACGGCCTTAACTACTTTGACAAAGCTTAGTACATATTCAAAACAGTTCATATTTTTTTAGCATTGTAGTAGTGTTTAAGTTTAAGAGGGGCACATATTAATTGCTAAATAAGTAAAAAAAAAAAAAAAGCTCAATTATGTCTGTCAGTATTTATAAAGTGCTTTGTGTTTTTTGTGCATTCAGCCACAAACTATTCCTCCCATTAAATGCTTCTGTATACACTGTTATCTAAAGAAGCATTTATAAGAGCACACTGATTACCACTTGGCTTACAGTTAATGTGCAGGGTCTAAACTAAAGTGTTACTAATATTTCTACTAATATCACTTCAACTCTTGATGTACATGCACAGTAGATAAGAGTATATTTTTAACTGTTCGGTTGAATATTGATTATTTCTGCAGAGCGTTTCCACCTCCACCTATTCCCATAAGTTGCTTGTATTATCGCTTCATTTTGAGCCCTAGCTGGCTTTGCTTAATCATACTTTCTCTGTGTCGTTAAGCTATGCCAAAAAGTGACTCTGTAGTTTCAAAAGTGAAGGGGGTTTTAGTTTCCCACAGTCTGTAAAAACTTTCATTCTAAGACATTGCTAACCATGCACCCAGTCAATTCAATCCTCCTCACCTCATCATCTTTGTGTTAGGACTACACATGTTGTAATATAAAAGTCCCACTATTGAATTCTTGGGTAACACACTAATCAGTATGACAACAAACTAAATATATCGCAGTAACACCTAGGTTCTCCATGTGTGTTTTTGTTTTATTATAACTGAAATTATTGTCCAGCTTTACTGTGTTTTAGATTTTTACAAAGTCACATAGTAATGAGGTGATTCTCTATGTGTCTTCAGGTCATGTGGATGCAGGTAAAAGCACACTGATGGGACATTTGCTCTATCTCCTGGGTAACGTGAACAAGCGCACCATGCACAAGTACGAGCAGGAGTCTAAGAAGGCGGGAAAGGCCTCATTCGCCTACGCTTGGGTTCTGGATGAAACTGGCGAAGAACGTGACAGGTACTAACCAAGTCTAAAGCTGTATGTTCACAATAGTCAGTGTTGTTGGGTTTTTTTATGCAAAATCATGCAGCCATAGCGCTTTTTATACTCAATAAAAAAGGAAGTATCCTATTTTTGGAGTGGGGATTCTGCAGTCATAAAATATAAATCTACTTCAGCAAGTCAGATTTTATTGAATTATTTGAATGTAGCACATTTGCATTGGTCACTTTTCTTTTGGCTGAATGACATTGCTTACTTTACTCTACTACAACTACTGCTATTATTACTACTACTTACAATACTAATACTGCATAATCGAATCTCCACTTTTTTGTGTAATGTTTTAGTTTTAAAATCTACTCATGTCATTTCAACACCACATATTTTAAATCTGTATTAAAATTTTTATGTTTTTATGTGATTGCTTTTGTGCTTTTGCAGAGGAGTGACGATGGACGTGGGCATGACCAAGTTTGAGACAAATTCCAAGGTGGTAACACTGATGGATGCCCCTGGACACAAAGACTTCATTCCCAACATGATCACAGGAGCTGCCCAGGTATCAAGCTGACCAATAAAAACAGATACATTTATTTAATATTGAGAGTACCTAATAAGATGGAGAGCTGTGATATCGTCTTGTGTACATCCTCCTAGGTCCTGCCCCACCCATGAGCGTGATTTGAAATAATAGTGGTTTTGGGTGTTGGTGTCACAAGATGTCATTGCATGCATGGGTGTGTGTGTCTGCTTTTAGGGACTAAATGTAATTTCTCTTTTTACCAAATGACTGTTTAGACTCGTGTATTGACTAAATGGTTTCTGGTGCAATATCTGAGGGGAGTTGCATCTCCACCACTTTCAAGTACAATTGGTAAATGTTTTGTGCCTTTTTTTTCTAGGCTGATGTGGCAGTGTTGGTGGTGGATGCCAGCAGAGGGGAGTTTGAGGCGGGGTTTGAGGCTGGGGGACAGACCAGAGAACATGCACTGCTGGTCCGATCACTTGGAGTCACTCAACTGGCTGTGGCTGTTAACAAAATGGACCAGGTCAATACAAAACATCATTTCTTTAGGCTCATTTTCAACATGATTGAAATGGTAAATGATTCAAATATTTTCAAATATTTTCAAGTAGTACAACCTCAGTCTACTGGTCAAACTTAAGCCAAACTTAAATAAAACTGTTTTTATTTACCCAATTCATAACTTAATTAAATTGTAATTTGTAAAAGTAATTTGTCTTGGAGCACAAGGAGCACACATTTTGATCTTTTTGAGATTTTCCTATTTTATACTAATTTATTGTATAGCCTACTTTAAAACATGAATGCCTTCATTGTTCTGCAAGAAATAATACTAATATATGTATATTTTTCTATAGAAAATAGACAGATTTTTGTTTTACTTCTAATGCTTATTAGTGTACTGTATGGTGTGCAGTTAATATGAAACCCATGCCTCTAATTTTTGCAACTAAAACAGGTTAATTGGCAAGAGGAGCGCTTCAAGGACATCACGTCCAAGCTGGGCCACTTTCTGAAGCAGGCAGGCTTCAAGGTGAATTTGACTTTAAAAACAAAAACAACACAATATCTCTATTGACTCAAATGTGTCAAACGCATTGAACTTAAAATGACTTGGACATAATACATTTATTTTTCAGGAGTCAGATGTTTTCTACATCCCGACCAGCGGCCTGTCAGGAGAGAACTTGACCACGAGGAGCACTGTGTCAGAACTCACATCCTGGTACTCAGGGCCCAGTCTGCTGGAGCAAATTGGTAATGAGCGGCCACCAACTCACTTCCTAGATTTATTATACAATCATTGAAATAGCTGACTCGACAGGACTGTATTTTGTGGTAATTACATTATTGTGCAACAACAAAGACCATAATCCATAAGAAAAATGATTCATGTTAAGGCAAAACATGCATTGTCATGTTTGACTTTTAAATGATTTGGTTTGTTTTGGTATGTTTATTTATTTTTTCTTCACAGATGCCTTCAAAGCCCCTCAGAGGTCCATTGACAAACCATTTAGACTCTGTGTGTCTGATGTGTTCAAAGGTACATATATATGACATTTGGAGACATTTAGGTGTTGTTGTTACAAGAGGTGTGTCTTTACAGACCAGGGCTCAGGCTTCTGTGTAACTGGGAAGATAGAGGCTGGTTATGTTCAGACTGGAGACAGGATCCTGGCCATGCCCCCCAACGAAACCTGCACGGTCAAAGGTACACAGCACCCTCACTTTGACAGATGCTCTCTAGTAAATGTAGTGTAGCTTAAAATACTGTCACTATGAATGTGTACTAATTCTCTACTAACATACTCTTGCAATGTTACTCATAACATCAGGTAAGTTCCTAAAAAAAAAAAAAAAAAAAAAAAGTTGATGTGACAGACCTGACCACTGTCTACGAGAATAAAAACAGATGTTCAGTTAAAGAAATTCATATTTGCTTTCCTTAAATGCATACTTTACAGAGCTTTGTAAGGAGTTTGGTTGGCAGCTTTTAAAAGGTTACAGTTTTTCAAAGTGGGGCACATTGTGTTTCTTTTTTCTTTTTTTCTTTTTTACGTACACTACATCTAACCTGGGACTAAAGCTGGACAGACCACACCTGGACACAACCAGAACAAAAAGCTAGTTTTTGTAACTGCAATACTCAACAAAACTTTTGCACACTGCCACAAATGTCCATAAACTGGAGACACTTAAGACCAAACAAAACGTTTAGAACCTTGACACTTTTAGACAGAAAGAAACCGACTCAGTGGATTTAGTTTGAATGCTGTTACAGGGACTCCAGAGTTTTGCTGAATATAATAACGTTATGTGGTAGTAGCGTTATAGTTGTTGCACTATTTTTTTGAAACTCCAAGCATGAAACTTAATACTGGTAACCTAAAATCTAGTGTTGTGACTGCCCCCTTGTGGACACTGATGCATTTGCCTCTTGGCTCGATCAGGGATAACGCTCCATGATGAGCCTTTGGACTGGGCTGCAGCAGGAGATCATGTCAGCCTGACACTCACAGGGATGGACATCATTAAAATCAAGTATGACACATAATGTGCCTGTTCATTTTTATGTTTTAATTAATATTGTCATTTCTGTCCTATTCCAGTGTTGGCTGTGTGTTTTGTGATCCCAAGGAGCCAATCCGAGCCTGCACCAGATTCCGTGCACGCATTCTCCTCTTCAACATAGAATTTCCCGTAACTCAAGGCTTCCCGGTATGTGAGTCTTCTCTCTGCAGCTGCAGTATCAGTGATCAAAGAAGGCCATTTCAACTTTAAATGGTGGTTTACATTTTAGAAACATCAACTATGTTCAAATTGCAACTTTATTAGTTCCCCAAAATATTAATATGCAATTAAAGAAAAAAAAAGAGTAATACATAAAGGAAAGGTGAAAATGAAATAATTAAAATAGTCATCAAAGCATTTCTTAAAGGTGCTTTGTGTAACTTTTCTGGTGGAGTGTCTCTCAAATGCTTTCCTCCATGGAGATATTATTGCTTTGTCTGGAATGTTTCACAGTATGGCATTAAAACATTTTATCTTCATAGAGACCAAACTCGATCAAGTAACAGGTCAGATCTGTGGAGAGGCGACCTTGCTCACAGTCAGAGACTGTTTTTCTTGGAATTTTTGGTATAAAACTCTAAAATGTAATACATGTAAGTTAGAGCTATTTAATGCCATACTGTGGAACATTCTAAGCAGAGCAGTGACACATTCATAGAAACAAGCTGGTGACAGACCTGCCACAAGCAAACTTGCACAATGCACCTTTACAATGTTTACTGGTACAGTGTTTACTAAGTTTATAATAAGTGTAATACATGTTTATAAGTTCTCTGTTAGGATACTTTAACAATTAAAACTATATTTTACTAATTCACTGTTTCATTTTTGACGACAATCACATTGGGGAAAGTTTATGTATGTAAATGCTTTGATTGTTTGTTCAGGTTTTGCTGCATTACCAAACTGTCAGTGAACCAGCCACCATCAAGAAGCTGATCAGTGTTTTACATAAGAGCAGTGGTGAGGTCCTCAAAAAGAAACCAAAGTAAGAAGTGTTTACCTGTTTTTAAATGCAGTGATGAGAGTAACGATAATTGACTGTATATATTTGTTTAAAGGTGTCTGAGCAAAGGCATGAACGCCATAGTAGAGCTCCAGACACACAGACCTGTGGCATTGGAGCTGTACAAGGACTACAAGGAACTGGGCCGCTTTATGCTGCGCTACACCGGCTCAACCATCGCTGCTGGGGTCGTCACGGAGGTATCATTATGCCATTACGTCTGATCACTGCTTTAACGTAATTCATATTAGGGATAGTTCCATGTGGATTTTTTAGATATAGATAGACAGATAGAAATTCATATTTTCACTGTATAATATTAATGTTCTTCATTATATTTTCTTTCCACAGTTCAAAGAATGAAGATGACCAGTATCAATACGCCTTTGGACTTGTCTCAATAAGCCACAAGATGCCAATAACAAAAATGTCTGAATGGACTGGGAACATGACCTCACTCTGCTTCACTTGACTTCTCCAGTCAACACTAACATTAAAAATGTTGTTATTATTTGAAAAAAGTCACAAATCAACTCTGCACTCTCTTCAAGTGGCCTGTCCTGTGAAGTATATTCTTGGCTGTTAAACACATTTAAACTCTAAGTACCTATGAATATTTAAATTGAGAAATTGGCTCAAGTTTGAGGACAGTGCTCTCATCATCATCATTACATTTTTTACTGCTGCTTGTAAAAGACTTATATAATTGACTTGCCTCCGGTATAGATGGTATAGGAGGAGGCACCTAGAGCTATGTAAATATGTACTTTAACCAGTGGGCTAATTATGAACAAATGCTTTTTACCCCTAGAGAGATAAGAAATGGTATCAATACCCACTACTTGAAGTACTTGTACAAAACACTTGTACAGCACCATTTTATTTGAAGGGCTGGTTTTATAAACTAAAGACTATTTGAGGATCAGCTGTCTTTCAGTTTCTTTTTGTTGAACTGGACATGTTGGTGAATAACAAGGCCACAACACGATCATTACACCAATCATTTGTGTGTCTTTTTTGTCCATGCCAGAAAGGATAACCACAGTTTGGGGAGAAGTATTGTCGCGTTTGATACACTTTGGAAGGAGGGGTAGACCACCTTTTTGTATCCATGAAGGGTTTATTCAATAAATGTTTTAGTGCTTAAAAATACCTTTTAAATAATAGCAGAGACAGTTCACCTATACATAAATCTGACCAGTGCCTTGGCCTGGTGGTGTCATCTGCTTGTCTTCTTGAGTGGAATATTCCAGGTAAAGCAATAACATATCCATAGAGACAAACAAGAGATGGACCCTCTATCAAAAAAGTTACATGTTGCGCCTTTAAGAGAACTGGGTTTGGGTAAAGCGGTTTTTTCGAAGTCGGTCGAAGCGCAGTATTGCTACCACGAGGGGTCAGTGTTTCATACACGTTTTCTGCAGGTGTACTGTAAAACTAATGAAAACTGACCGTGTTGACACTGTATATTTACCCACACTCAATGCAATAATGTAATTTTAGTTGCATATTAACTTTAGTAACTTTTAAATTGTGTTCATCGTGAAAAAGTTTCATATTTAGTTGAATATCTAACTTAAAATCCAGACAGCTAGAGTGTGTGCTTTGGACAATGATTGGGCAATAGTGCGCTGTTCACCCTTTGAACATCATTAAATGTTGCGTTGAATTTGGAAACTCCATTTTTCTGTCAGGAAGTTCTCTCTCCTGCTGCGACTGTGTTTTTGACCCTTCACAGCCTCTTTCTCACTCACACCATGGCTATGACATCGCAGAAATCTCCTTATCTGGTTCTGGAAAATTTTATCGGAGGTGAATTTGTCCCTTGCGAAAAACACGTCGACTCGTACGACCCGTCCACCGGAAAAGTCTACTGCCATGTGCCGGACAGCGGACCAGAGGAGGTGGGCCCCAAAACAACAGGAGAATTAAATACACCTTTGCAACTAACATGGAGTCTTACTGTGCAACATTTTACAAAGGCATAATGTTGGTGGGGCATTACATAGGACTGCTGTTTCTGCATGAAAATGGGTTGTTTACTCTTAGCTTCTAGTAAAATAGCTTCTAGTAAAATAGACTATCACTTAAAACTGGGTCTTTAAAGTGGGCAGATGTCGGCAATTTTATCTGTTTAAGGCAGACCTGGACCTGGTACAGCTCCCGTGCCACATTGGTTAATTCGGACCGGCCCGTTTAAGATCATTTGGAATTTCAAAATAAACATTTTATCATTTTACCTCATGCATGCATTAAAGCTGCAATGATTTTATTTTAGAAGGTTTTTTTAAGACATTTTTTGTAAGACAATCTCACTTTTTCATTGTTTAGTCATACCAGCGTGTCAAAACAATGCTATTAACATTTAAAAAAATAAAGAAATACAATTAATATTATGCAGATTTGAGTTAAGCATTTTGGCCCGGCCCTCCACAATATTTTCTGTTTCTCATGTGGCCCCATGGAAAAAAATAATTGCCCACCCCTGATTTAAGGACTATAAGAGTTTTAACAACAAAATGAAAACCGAATATTTTGTCGTAATTCAAATAGTTGTGGTGTGTGGGCTACTGATATAAATTTATATAATGTAATAAATACACCAAATAGACTACTGTTATAGATACAACTACGAAATAAAGCTTTTGATACCTGGGGGTCATGAGAGAACAGTAAGAAATTCAGTCTCAAACTCAAACACATTATTTTAAAATACAGTTTCTCATCAAAGAAATAACATAAGTTTGTGAACATTTTTATTGTCTTCTGTGTGTTTGCAGGTGGAAGCAGCAGTCAAAGCAGCTAAGAAGGCTTTTCCTGAGTGGTCTTCTCGCAGCCCAGAGCAGCGCGCTCAGATACTCAACAAATTGGCCGACCTCATCGAAGAGAGATTGTTTGAGTTTGCTCAGGCTGAGTCCAGAGACCAAGGTCCATTACTGTTTAAGCATTGTATTATCAATAAAATGTATATGAAAAATAAAAGATAAAAAAATGAACTATATCTACTATTATAGGTAAAACTGTGACCTTAGCAAGAAATGTGGATATTCCCAGATCTGTGTACAACTATCGCTTCTTTGCCTCCTCTATTCTCCATCACACCACGGACTGCAGTCAGATGGATCACCTTGGCTGCCTCAACTACACCATTCGCTGCCCTGTGGGTGTGGGTAAGACTAGAATGTTGTCAGGGTCTGTAATGTAGTGTGTAGCGATCCTGTACTGGCCCTTAACGATGTTGTGTCATTGCAGCGGGTTTGATCAGCCCCTGGAACCTGCCCCTGTACCTGCTCACCTGGAAGATTGCTCCTGCCATTGCCATGGGAAACACTGTGGTGGCCAAACCCAGTGAGATGACCTCTGTGACGGCCTGGATGATGTGCAAGCTCATGCAAAAGGCTGGTAAGGATGGGCCAAAGTTTTCATATATGTGTGTAATAGTATAGAAATAAAATAGTATACTTTGGTGCTATACATTTTAAATATTCTTTGAAACTAGTTCTAATATTGAAGATATTTAAATTGAAGTATTTTATATTGTACTTTTTTTTTTTTTGACAAAAATGAACAGATTTAGCACATGTGACAGCAGGGGGCAGTGCATACCACTAACTCATAGTTCCAGCTACATTACATTACATTCTCAAACACAATGCATTAAGTTGTGGATCTAAATAAATCATAAAGCAAATGAGAAAAATATTCAAAATTACAAAAAAGTCCTATTTTATACACAGTCAGTGGTTTCACCCATGATTCTGTGCTGTTGTAGCACCTACATTTAAAGAGACCACAAGATGCAAAGTAATTCATTGTTTAAAATGGGCTTTACTTTTTTCCATAGTTAACGGTGCTCTATGTAACTTTTTCGACATGTGTGTCCATAGAAATGTTTCTGCTTTGTCTGAAATGTGCCCTATGTGGTACGCTTAAACTTATCTGTCTCCATGGAGACAAATGGGCAACACTACCAGGTGAAGTTACTTTTTTTAAGATACAAGTTTATAATTAAATAAATGTAAAGTAGGTTTGATTCCATACTGAAGTTACTTCCCAGGCAAGTAAATAACATCTCCATGGCGACAAGCAGGTAGTGGACCTGTGTACCTGTTACTGAATTCTATATCTATGTCTAGGTGTTCCTCCCGGAGTGGTTAACATAGTTTTCGGCACGGGCCCAAGAGCAGGCGATGCTCTGGTTGGTCATCCAGACGTTCCACTGGTTTCTTTCACCGGCTCCACATTGACAGCCCAGAGAATCACAGAGCGCAGCGCCCCCTACTGTAAGAAGCTCTCTCTGGAGCTGGGAGGAAAAAACCCTGCCATAATCTTTGCTGATGCAGACCTGGACCAGTGCATCGAGACAACTGTCCGCTCCAGTTTCTCCAATCAGGTGTGTTAATACAATTCCTGTTGCAGTATTGCACATGACCATATGGGGGCGCTCTGAACACACTGCACATACAGGAATGCAAGATCATAAACATTTTCTATATTTTCACTGTTTTAGGGGGAAATCTGCCTGTGCACGAGTAGAATTTATGTTGAAAGAAGTATATACAAAACTTTTCTGGAAAAGTTTGTGGCTGCTGCAAGAAAGTGGAAGACCGGTGCACCATCCGACCCCAGCAACAACAACGGAGCATTGATCAGCAGAGAACACCTGGAGAAGGTTTGATATTTTTAGTATTTGTTATAATCACTTGTCGAAAAAGAAATATTATGTTTATAAAAATATCTGACCTGACTGGCTAAGAAGAGTAAGTTAATAATCAGCTAGTGAGCCTGTCCAGACATGTGTATTCATTCAATACAATATGCTGAGTCACTGAGCACAAAGGGGACTTCATGGTTTGTTTAATTACCACAAAATCCCCCTAAAAATCGCAAAGGTCTATACATCACTCATATATACAATTATCTACACCTTGAAGTGTTGATTGTAAGTAGGTGCCTTGGCATGTATGCTGAAAACAATAAAATGAAAATTTTCAGATTGCTTAAGATTATTATGTTGACCCAAAGTAAATATTTGAGTGTTTTTTTTGTTTTTTTTGAGTGCACAGTCTGGACAATCGTGAAATAAGTGGGCAGTGGGTTAGACATAGCTGTATTCACTCACAGATCTATACTTTCCCATTCATTTTATTTTATTTATTTGACCATGTAGTTCAGTTTTGGATACTGCCTGGCCAGTATTCATATGTTTATAACTAACCGATTTTCCCCTCTGCACTGAGACAGAGTGTTATGATGTAATAAAAGTAAAGTTTATGTCACATTTTGATGCAGGTTCGCAGTTTTGTGGCCCTGGCCAAGTCCGAGGGGGGTACTGTGCACTGCGGAGAGGGTGTGGATGCGCTGGACCTACCTGCGGCTAACGCTAACGGCTACTTCATGCCTGCCACTGTTATCTCAGGCCTGTCCGACTCCTCCAAAGTGATGCAAGAGGAGATTTTTGGTCCGGTCACCTGCGTCAGCCCCTTTGACACCGAGGACGAAGCTGTTGCCAAGGGCAACGGGGTGCGCTACGGGCTGGCAGCCACAGTATGGTCTCAGGATGTGGGTAAGGTGCACCGCATGGCTAAGAGGCTGCAGGCTGGACTGGTGTGGACCAACTGCTGGCTGGTGCGTGATCTGAATCTGCCTTTTGGGGGCATGAAGAACTCTGGGGTGGGACGCGAGGGGGGCAAGGATTCTTACCACTTTTTCACCGAAGTCAAGAGCGTTACCATCAAGCACTAACAGGCAAGTTCATCCAACTGTTGCATCACTGAATTAATCACATGAAAACTGAGCTTGTTTAACAAAGACACAAACCTGTTCAGAAATGTGCCGCTGGCTAAGAATACGATTGTCAGTTGTAAACACTGATCTGGAATTTCTTCTGGTGTTTTCTAGGGCATCTCACTGCGCCCAACAAAATTAAGTTGTATAAATCTTACAAAACCTGATTGTTTCAAAGTAGTTATGCAGCCAGATTATATCATTAGAACAGATGTTTGGCTCATCACAAGACATTAACTGGCTTAGAGCAGCCCTAACAGTCAAATATGGTAAGTAGTTTATCAAAAATAATTGACATTTTACATTCCCTTTACTTCATTCTCTGTGTCAACGCTCTGCTCCGAAGGGAAGCGTAGAAAGCCCATATACTATTCTGAGTAGTTTGTTTCCTTATCTTTGTTACATAGTAATTTTACAAATCCTTAATTTCTGTAATATCTAATGTAAATGTCTAGATTTTTTTATGTTAATAAGCATCAATAATAACCACTAATCAAATAAATACATAAATAAAAACAACTTGGCAATGCAATTACTACTTTATGCTATTATAACATTTGGCAGCTCACATTTATTTTGCATCTATTATATTCCTTCTATTTAATAAAAGATTCTGAATGGTCTGGCACCCTCAGCCCCCCCCACTGGTATCGAAAATACATACTCACTTAAACAGGTATTGATACAGGGAAAAATGGACAAAATAACCTTTCATTTTCAAATCTAAAACTTAGCATAGGATCACTTGATAACAATAAAAAAATGCTTTCTGTCTCAAAAAAGAGTGTTTTTGTAAATCAGTACTGAGTATCAAACCTTTTTCTTTCGTAATGAAGTTGAGTTTGAAATCTTAGCATCGTGGCATTACTAATTTAAAATTGTGTTTTGATTCATTCACACGTTTAACACACACATTTTGCATATTTAGACTGTGTTCTTTCTCTCAAAGTGAAAATACTCTGTTCTTCACTGAGATGTGATTAAGTGGTAATATAGGAAATGCTCCACTGTGTTTTTAAACTCCATACACCTTCACTAGAATGATTTTGCTCATTTCAGCCCTGTATGTGCCTAACTTTGAATGGCTAAGATGGCTAAACGCACACATGAGTCAGTTTTGCATAACACAGGACCTTTAAAAGCAACTACTTCAAAAGGACAGTAGGCCGACTTCATCTAAAGTCTCTTACTATATTTTGCAGCAACTTTTAACCAGTGGCAAAGCACATATTAAGTTAGATTTGACTATTTTTACCTCACACAATTTGTTATAAACTATATCATGTTTATGAATCCATCATTTGGCCTAGTTTCCTCTCTCATCACCCCAGTGACCGCCCCCCTCTTAAACATGTAAACGTGACTCCCGTTGGGTGTTGCTATGCAAGGCCTAAGCATGTTGACGATGGTGCCAGGTCATTATCAAAGTGGGGGCATTCTGGGCTGGGCCGTCCTATCTGAGTGGTTGTGATCACGTTCCCTGGTGAGGGGTATGTGACATTTACCACCAGGCTCTTGTGAGTGCGTCTCCCACCCACAGTGTTTTGGCTAGGGCAGCGGTTATTGTGCGAAGTCACGCTGTCTGATTGCACTGCTCTGCCTTCCTAGAACATGGCGTGTGGGTGAAATGAATCCCGCCCAGTGCTGAGGGGTGAAGAGGTCTCCCAAAGTATGATGGGAAAAGGAACAAAGTAAGTCAGCAGTTTTAGCGGTGGTCCCTCCCAATTTATCTTTCATCAGCTCAGAAATGGTTCATTCAAAGGAAAAGAGCCATTCATGGAGCTACGTGACTCTCAGGAGTAGACCAGAAGCGAAAAGTGAAAAGAATCTAATCAGGTAGTGCAGTATGGCCCAGGGGTTAGGTTGTGGCCCACATGCAAGGCTCCTACTCTTTGACAATCACTCAATGTCTCCAAAAAATAAAATAAAAATAAAACAACAAATAAAAATATCTTTCTTTATCTCAATCTATATTATGCATTCTATGTGGTGGAAGGTACTGTCCTCAAAATCGCTGTAATCATTAGTTTACTACTACTATTGATACTGCTTGCCTGAACAGGTCACATGTTGTTTGTTTTGAAGAAGTTTGTTCAAACTTGTCCTCTTGTCCTTAATTTACCTTGAATATTAAACCACTGCTCTATACATCCAGTGTGATAGAGTTTAAAGATGCTTTTAATGTCAGCTTTGGTTAAATTTCCCTACTTTATTCAATATCTCTGGCAAATAGGAAGGGAATTTTCCACAGTGCCTGCCCATTTTTTTTTTTTTTTTTTTTTTTGCTCGATAAGCCCTCGGACAGCAGAGCCCTGAGAAAAAGCTGAGTTCATACAGGTTAAGTAAATTGAAATAAAGTCTATATTTGAGGATCAGTGTGGACGGGCTGAGAGGTTAGTATCCGATGCCACTGCAAATCAAATAATTTGACATATTCTTCATTAGCTTGTTTTAATTAGTATGATATATGCAATGAAAATAGAAACATCAACTGGTTTTATTTAGTTTTGCTTTTCAGTGTAATGCATATTGTGGAACATATTCAGTGGGTGATGGACCTTTGCAAAAAATGACTGTTAATGCCTAGTTTTGGGTAGTCAGCCTGATGACCAGTGAATGATTCAACAGTACTCTCTGAGGAAAATAAATACTGTTACATCACATTTTCCAACAAAATTAAACTACAACATGTTTTTATTGTATTATTTTTTCTCTTATAGGTCCTATATTGCGTAAAATTGACTCTTGTGAGCTTTAAGCCATGTTAGAATATTGTTACCTCCTCAAAAACATACCCAGGCTTATGTTTCATTCACACATGTTTGAGTAACTAACTTTGTTACTACTCTGTCTACATCTGCAAAGCTCAAAATGTTCTGTTCCACCTTGTGATGTCATAAACTGGTAGTGTACAACTTAACAGCTACAGTAGAGAAAGGTGATTACAAGGCTAAAATTATCCAAATGATTCTAGTGACGGTGAATGCAACTTAAAAATAGTGGAGCACTTCCTGTGTTACCCCATCACACAGTGGAACAGAGTGTTTTCCATTTGAGAGAAGAACTCGGCCTAAATATGGTGGATGTGTGTGTTATACATATATGTACATTCATTCACATGCATGTAAATGAAGCAAAACAGAACTCCAGGTATGTTTTTGAGGATACAGTATTATTACAGATCAGTTGAGAAGCCCTGGTATTACCTTGGCAGCAATCCCACAATAACTATAACTTGAGCCTCCTGGAAAAACACAACATTACGCCTAAGTATCACAAGTCATAATTATACTATCAATGTCCCATTCTCGCATGGGAAGTGCACAATAATGTCACTGTGTACTTCTTTGCATCTGAGTCACCAAAATAAACAGGCCAAATCACTAACAATATTAAATTTAACAACAACTTTATGCTTATACAACTCTCAATTACGAACTTACGTAATTACAAAACACTGCAGCATCTGTTATTTGTACAGAATTGTTAATTATGCATTGTGTGAGTCTGGGCATGGACATAAATCATGACGTTTTAGTCCATCTGTTGTGTAATATTACTACAGAGAATCTCATTTCACATTTGGCTCTTTTACTGCATATATTTGTGTCTTCTGGTGTCATATATAATCCACTGTTATATGGTCAATATACATTCACTCTATTGACATGTAGCATTATAAATAATGAAGAATGAGCGTGGGTAAACAGTAAAGACGCATTTCTTTAGTGTGAGAATCTGCAGTTTCATGTCACATGGACCTGGGTCACACCACTTCAACCAAACACAATATTTATAGGTCATGGTTGGATAAATACACTCAAGTACTGTGCTCATTATCGTCTACATTTCCAATGGGAAATCTTTTTACTCGTTAGAAAAAGCTGGTTAGTACTGCTTTTTAAAGTCTCATAAACAGCTAAAGGGTACGCTATATAACTCACTTGTGGAGGATACGCCACCTGCTTGTGTCAGTCAAGATATTATTGCTTTGACTAGAATGTTCCGAAGCATTGCATTAAACTTATTGACATGGAAACAAGTGAGGTCATCAGCTACAGATCTGACACATATAATCCAGGTTATACCACTGAATAAATGCATGATATACTAGTATGTTTAATGCCATACTGTGGAACATTTCAGAGAAAACAATGCAAGTGATGGGCAAAAAGGTACAGTTACTTAGTTAAGTGCAACTTTACCTATACAAAGGTGCAATACAACATTATGATCAGTTTAAATATCTTATAAATGCTAAAGATCCTTGGGGTTGGACTGGGATTGGGTTGTTAAAGGGCCCATATTTATGTCTCTTTATATCTATGGTATAATGTTGTTTCCTCATCAAAAACATACCTTGAGTTGTGTTTTGTTTTATTCACACATGTTTAACACAAACTCTGCATTTTTAGGCTGAGTGCTTCCTACAAACAGAAAACACCCACCTTCATTAGAATCATTTGGATAATTTCAGACCTGGAATCTCCAATCTGAACTAAAGGTAAAATGTAGCGGTTAACTTGAAAACCACCACTACATGACATCACGAGGTGGAGCAGAGCATTTTGAAGATGTTGACAGACTAATAATGCTGGATTACTCAAACTTGTGTGTGAATGAAACAAAACACAACTCTGGGTATATTTTTAAGGAGGTAACATTCCAGCTTGGTTTACAGCTCAGGAGTCAATTTTGCGTAATATAAAACCTTTACTAATGAGGCTATTTTGTAATGTTTGTATAGCTTCAGGTCACTGATGCAGACGCTTTGGTCGGCCGGTGAAATACAAACATGTGAAACCAGGTCAACGTGGTTTTAATACTTGATACATTTGAACACATAGTATGTCGAAGTGACCAGGTCATGTGTATAATATTACAACATGTTGGTAGGACTCAGTTACTGTTACTCAGCTTTACTAGAGACATGCTTGTACTTCTTGGAGTAGTTTACTGACAAACTTTTACTCCTACTTGAGTATTATATTTGATAGTGTAACAATACTTTTACTCGAGTAGTTTTCTCATTTTTGTGGTGTATGCTTTTAAAATACCAGATTTAGGCATTATTTATTATTGTTTTGTCCTTCCAGTGGCACAAAAATAACATGGTGTCCAAACTAATAAAATCCACAAATATTATTCACCATAGTGATAAGTGTTTTTCCTTTGATTGCTCCAAAAGTTACTGACAAAGCTCTAAGTAAAATGTGTTGAAAAGGTCATTCATATTGAGGACCTACTTTCCAGAGTCACCTAACAGCACTTTGTAAACAAAATACTCCACATACAGTAGGTCCACATACTCTTGCTGCAAGGCGAATTGAAGAGAAGCTATGTCAGCCTGTCAAAAGCAGAAACTGGTATTCAAGATTTAGATGATATTGCAGCAGCTATTGCCTGTTACATGCTTGTTCTTGCTTGTAAAATGCATGAACTGCATTGTATTTTGACTCAAATGAGCACTTTGATCTGATATGCTTTGTATTTTCTGACAGTCTTTTGGTTGGTCTAGTTTATGGAGGGGCCAATAAGAGTTAGACAAGTGACTTTTAAGATGAGTTCACATTTCACAGGGATATACTATAACATTAAGTCATATAAGTCAAGAAGGGACAGTAACAATGTCAAAAG